CCACCAGAAACATCCCAGGGGTGAGCCCTGCAGTCTTCATCTGTTCATGCAGATGAGGCATAAACAGCTGACTCTATTTCTCACTTTAGAGGCTTGGATGGTCCAAGATCACTGTACAGAGATCCTCTGGTTACAGGCAGTGGGCTCTTTGCTGTGTCCTCAGATGGTGGAAAGAGTGAGTGTCACTCTGCTGCCTCTTGCAAGGGCAATAATCCCATTCTTGAGAGCTTCGCCCTTGTGACCTCCTAAAGGCTCCACCTCTTAATACCATCACCCTGGGGGTTAGAATTTTAGCATATGAGCTTAGGGGTACACAAATATTCAGACCATAACCCTTGGTGAACCTGCCCTGAGGACAAGCATGTGTTTCATCATCCCTCATGGTGTCTAGACATTAGGCATGCTCCGACCAGCCAGAAGGGTCAGTGCCACGTAGCAGACAGAAAGGTACCAGAAACACCCCACACCTTCTGGCCCCAGAAGAGTCCTGGACAGGAAGGTCAGGCTCCATGTGGGCCCCGTTCCCTGAAGGTTCGCACGGGCTCTGGCTCTATTAATTGCTTGTTACATTTGGTACCTGCTGGGCTGGGCTAGTCTGGCAGCCTCCACAGGCCTCCAGAGCATATCACCAAAGCCCTCTACCCCTGCCTGGCCCTGCCTTCTTACCCTTCTCCCTGCCCATTGCTTGGGAGTCTGAGCTGCACTAGCATGTCCTAAGCTCTGTCCTCAGCTGACCAGGCCTTGTCTGAGATCAGGCAAGTCTGTTGGCCATAGCATAGCACACATTGGAGAAATGCCTGATATTAAAATACCAGATGTTGTGGGCATGTGGTACACGCCTGTAATCCCAGCACTCAGCAGGCTGAGGTGAGGATTGCTTTTAGTCTGAGGGCAGCTTGAGCTACATAGTGAGTTCAAGGCCAGCCTGAACTACAAAGCAAGACCCTGTCTCAAAACAAACCACAAAATGCTAGATGTCCTTCATCCCTCAGTCTTTGCTAAGCACCAGCCCCATATAGAACACTGTAAGACCGCAGGCACTGTGAGAAATCAAGAAAGCAGCCCTGCCCTGGGGGACAGGAACACAGTACTTGTGCTCACTTGGGATGGCCGTCACACTGCCGACATGGGAACTAGGGATGGGCAGGACAGGAGGATGGAGCACTCTGCAGCTGGGCCGTCAGCTTGTTTGGGGAGCAGGAGGCTCTGAGGACAGAGACGTAGGTAGGGGCTTCACAGTCCACAGTGAAGAGTGAGATTTAGGAATGATGGGAAACTATTCAAAGAGCTTAAACAGGGAGATTAAGTTTGACTGAGAATGCAAGAGACCCTAAAAATAGTGGATTAAATAAGACAAATTTGTTTTGAGTGTTTGGAAAAAAAGCACTTACTGACTTCAGATAGTATGGAATTTCCACAGGACCTAGGCTGATTTTAGATCACTGTTCCACTTTCCCCTGGGTGAAAAACTTGTCTGCTCCAAGTTGGTTGCTTGAGCTCCAACCATTACACACCTGGGCATTAGGAAGGAGGAAATGAGAGAAAAAGAATGGCCTTTCTCTTTAAAATTACATTTCCAAAGACCTCACCACAGTTCAGTATATCTTGTTGTCCATGACTTGTCATATGGTTACACCCAATAGCAAGCAAAATTAGGAAATGCAATCTGTTGGGTGTCACTGTACCCAGCAAAAACTTGGGGAGTTCTTTTTCTATAGAAAGGAAGAACAGTTGATGTTAGGAGAAAACTGGTGGTGTCCTGCTGGGTGGTGCACAGACTAGAGAGAAGCAAGACAAGGCAGCAGGGCGGCAAGAAGGAAGCAGAGCTCCTGGTTTTCGGGTTTGAATTGTTGTCACGAGTATAATGAGCTGGGAAGACAAGGAGGAAACATGAAGAGGGTGGAGGAGTTGCCAACACAGGACCCCTCCTGCCCCAGTGCACCACAGGAAGGAAGGAAACTGGGAGGAAGACTAGACTGTTGGCTTTCCCTAGGAGCGTCCCAGGAAGTCACCTCATGAGCTGTCTCCAAGCTGTGGTACATCTCATTGCAATTGGTACTGTAAATTCCAGTCATGCATGGAGGAACAAACACGGGAGCACAGGGTGGCTGTGTGGGGGCCCACAGTTTATACCTGCAGTGCCCCACATGTCCTTGATGAAACTATGGTATGGCCCTGAGGACTCAGATTGGAGTGAGTGTCTCTTACCTGACAGAAAGTCAGGCATAGCCAGCCCTGCATGGGTCACATCACAGATCTGCAGAAACCATGAGGTTGGGTACAGAGGAGGAAGTTTAGGAAACTCAGGCTGAGTCCATGGCTTGTATCACAGGTGGAAAGCCTGAGCCCTGAGGGCAGCCCTGCCAGGAGCTGGAGCGGGCTTGGGGCCCTGACTTACAGGCCTGGAAGTATTGAACTGTTTTTAGCTGCTAGTGGAGGCGACACTCCTGCTCACCCACTCACTCCTCTCTGAGTCATCATTGCCTACCCAGGCCTCAGGCCAGCTTTCCAGGTCACTTCTGGGTGTGTGTGTGGGTGCTCCCTGAAGCCCAGGTTTCCTGGTGGGTACCCATCTACCGTGAGGGTGGCCTGGGACCAATCAATGGTCAGGGTGGTTGACTGGATTTGGATCAACATTGTGGTCTTGGCCTTCTAGACCTCGTGCCAGTGGTCGATTCCTTTGTGGGGCAGGCAGTGAGAGGGGAACAACTTAGAGTACTTTCCCACCAGCGTTCTGCAATGGATAGTCTAACATGTAAATAGCTACTTAGACAGCTCAGTTCTGGAAAAGTCACGCAGAAGGCTTTGGCCCTACTTACTTTTGTAGAGACTCTTTTGTTGGTCACAAACCTTCCAGGTGCTGACCTAGTTTCCTTTGTTTCTCCCACTCAGAGGAGGCCTACAGACTCTCAAGTATTCCCTACCTACTTCCTGCACCCCTTGCCGTGGGCTGGGCAGTCTCTTTCCTCTGCCTTTCCTGGAGCATTAGGGTTGAAAGAACTCTCTGCAGAGTAATCATAACCACAACCATGAATAAAACACACCAACTTGGGAGGGCCTGTGAGGTTGAGATAGGAGCGTGCTGCACCCCACTCCCAGGCCAACATGGACTCAGTCCTACTGTGGCTCCAGGACACGTGTCTAGGCTGAGACAGAAAGGGAGCGGGAGGAAGAGCCTGGCAGGGCTGGGCACTCACTACCGACCCCTTGGATCTGCCCCTCTGGTGCCATATGTCCTGTTGAGTATGGCGTTTTTCAAGTGAGACAGGCTTAAGAGGATGTCTTCCAGTGTCACTGGTATGACCGAGACCTGTGTCTCCCAACCCGTTGAGAAGCCTCCAGAACATGGCTACGAGAGAGAAGTGGGAAGGTGTTGAGGTTCTGGTGCTTAATCCTGATCCCTTCATCCTCTGTGGCCCCTTGGGATTAGTTGCTACTGCTTCCACACAAAGGCCATGACTAACATGAGGCACTGCTGTGTGCTTAGCTAGTGCCACAGCAATGCCATGAAGCAAATCTTTCCTAAATCTAGCCACTTTGTTCAGCTGAGAATCAGAGATCTGGGGCAGCCTCAGCTCTGCGTGGCACAAACTAGTTCCGCTTCCTGGGAAGAACGAGAGCCAGGGCACATTCAAGGTAAAGATAGAGGTCCATGGGGACGGGCAAGCATGCAAGGCTTTAGGAACTTGCACACTGCTGCCCCTACATCATCCTGTGGGTCAAAGCAAGTCCTGAGTCAGAGTTCCAGGACAGGAAATAACGTTCCACCTAGGGAATGGTCTGCCAGGCAGAGGTCACAGATTAGGGCCCATCCAGCAGCTCCAAGTCTTCCTGCTGAGGTGGCCCTGTGGGTCTAAGAAAGTGGAGTGTGTGCACAGATAGGTCCTTCGTAAGCTGTAGAGCACCATCTGCATGTGCGATCTGTGCTTCTAGTGCCGACTTGTGACTTCTCCAAAAGCCCTCTGAGCTTTCATTGCACTAGTCACTGAAAAGAGGTGACACGTCTGGTGTCCCCAAGAATTATATAGTGCTTTCTATGCTCATCCAGTAGAATATCAGCCTAGTCCTGTGTGCCTTAAGCAAATTCACCTCCACTCCCTCCGATGAAAAGGAGGGGAAGGAGGCTGAAAGACTCCTAAACTCAGTATTTGTCTCTTTACCCTTCTGTTATTTAATGAGGCCTGGGCTTCCCTGGTAAACACAGGTCACAAACACATCAATAAAAATCAACACATAAGGGGCCGGGAATTTAGCTCAGAGGTTCAGTGGCCTGCCTTGCAAGCGCAAGGACCCAAGTTCAATCCCCGGTACAAAAAAAGAAAAATCAACACATAGATGTTTTAGCATAAGGGCCTAAATTCGTAAGATTTTAGTATTGTGAGGTAAAATCCCACCGCCAACCATAATTCTTCAATACTCAGAACATACAGCCCAGCTCCAGGAACTTTGTTCCACCCTGGGTAAAATATGTAGGAAATTGCAACATGAGCCAAGAACACTGACTTTTTATTTATTTCCCAAAAATATACTGGTGCAAAACCCCAGTATTCAAGGGGCCTGGGATTTAGCTCAGTGGTTCCGCTGGCTGCCTCACAAGCCCAAGGTTCTAAGTTCGATCCCCGCTACCAAAAAAAAATTTAAAAACCCAAAACATGTGGGACCAATGATTTAGTTCAGTGGTTTTGGCGCCTGCCTCGCAAGCACAAGGACCCGAGTTCAATCCCTGGTACCAAAACAAAAAACAAACTTATCATACAAAACCCCAGTATTCAAAGCCGAGCCACCCCAGTCAAGCAGCAGGGTGGGGAACAGAACCCTGGGTGCTACACTACTTTAAAGCTTACCTGGGACAAAGGCCCAAGGGTCCCTGGTGTTCCAGGCACAACTCAGAGTGGCCCCCTCCTGAGCAAGCTGGTGCACTGGCCAGCACAGCGTGCCAGAGTCTTAGCTGGGCAGAGCCCCACAAGGCCTCAGAGCCCACTATCCCTCTCTCCCTGCAGGCTGATGCCAAGATGGTGTGTGATGTGGTGAGTCGCATGGAAGATACGGAGCCCTTCTCTGCGGAGTTGCTTTCTGCCATGATGAGACTCTGGGGTGACTCAGGGATCCAAGAGTGCTTCAACCGGTCTCGGGAATATCAGCTCAACGATTCTGCCAAATAGTGAGTGTGCTCTGCAGGGTAAGGGGTGGGGACTGCTAAGGCCACTCCTACTTCTGGTGGTAAGCATCAGGGTCTTCAACCGGTCTCGGGAATATCAGCTCAACGATTCTGCCAAATAGTGAGTGTGCTCTGCAGGGGTAAGGGGTGGGGACTGCTAAGGCCACTCCTACTTCTGGTGGTAAGCATCAGGAGGAACTAGGGGCTTTTCTTCCTCTCCCCAGGATAAAGAAGCCAAGGAAAGGAGAGGGCAGGAGAAACAACCAAACAGGAAAGTCCCCTCTCCAAGGACCAGGACTTGTCACCTACTTGTCCTGGACTATGTCTGCACCCAAAATAAAAGTTCGAGGTAGCAGATTTTTCTCTTCAGGAGTCCTTGACCACATAATTACAAACCAAGGGCCATATAGGTAGAACATAACTCAGATGGTGTCATTTTGTTTTATTTTGCAGAAAATATTAAACTTTTAAAACTGGAAATGTAGTTCGGTGGCAGATACTTGCTTAGCAGGTGAAAAGCCCTGGGTTCAATCTCCACAACACAAATGCACCACAAAACAATTATAATAGCTTAATAAACTTTCCATTCTTCTAACTTTAAAATTAAAAATAAGGAATAAGTGCCAGATATAATGATAAACACTTATAATCCCAGCACTCTGGGAGTCTGAGGCAGGAGAATCACAAGTGCAAATCTAGCCTGGAAAACGTGGTGACTTAGCAAGACTTTATCTCAAAGTAAAAAGAAGGGGAAGGGGCTGGAGATGTTGCTCAGTGTGGAGGCCCTGGGTTAATCACCAGCATCACAAAAAGCAAAATAATAGGGGCCAGGGATTTAGCTCAGTGTTTCTACCTCCTGCTTCACAAGCACAAGGTCAAGTGCAAATCTAGCCTGGAAAACGTGGTGACTTAGCAAGACTTTATCTCAAAGTAAAAAGAAGGGGAAGGGGCTGGAGATGTTGCTCAGTGTGGAGGCCCTGGGTTAATCACCAGCATCACAAAAAGCAAAATAATAGGGGCCAGGGATTTAGCTCAGTGTTTCTACCTCCTGCTTCACAAGCACAAGGTCCCAGGTTTGATCCCTCGTACAAAAAAAAAAAAAAAGTAAAATGATAAATAATAATAATAATGCATAGGTAACATCACTCAGTAGATTGAATAAATAATCAGATATCCCTTATTATTATAAAACTAAATAAAGAAGAAGGAGATTGGGAGGGAGGAAGTGATAGAGAAGAGGAGAGGAAGTGGAAAAGTGGTCAAAACCAGAGCAGATGAGAAGAGCTGGAGAGAAAAAAGGTAGAGAAAGGGCTCAGGACTCTTCAGGCCCATCCACTGAGCTGTATTACTGTTGGGTAGCTCACTGGTTACTGCCCTTGGCCCCTAGATCAGAGGCTCTGGAGAGGGAAGCTCCTGCGATGATGGAATGTTTTCTGCTATGCAGGCACTGGGATTGCCTGCATATTGGTGCCCAGGAAAAAAACACCCACATTTGCAACCTGGGGCCCAGGCTTTCAGCAGGTGCTTGCAGTAAAGAGCTCCTGGGCTTTAACACACTATTTGAGGACAATATGTGCCCTGACCTTATCTGATTTAGCTGCTCTCCCCAGAGCTTCTCAGCTAGAGCCTTTTTGCCCCACCCCCAAGACATTCAGCAATGTCTGGAAGCATTTTTGCCTGTCACCATTTTGGTGATGCTCATGGAATCCAATGAGTAGGGGCCAGGGATACTGCTAAACATCCCTCCTCTGAGGTAGGTCCCAATAAAGAAACATCTGGCCCAAAACATTAATAGTAAAGTCATGAAGAAGCCCTGTGCTGATATAACAGATTGAGCCGATGAAACGGCATTCACAAATGGACAGTTGGGTGCTTTCTTTGGTGGTGATGGCAGCTAACAAACTAGGGATTCCAGTAAGGCTAGAAGCATCTTCCCATTTCTGCACTCATGAATTGCCCATGGGCCAAATGCCTAAATCCTGCAAGTCCCATGTGGTAGCCACAGACCTTGGTGAGCCTTGGTGAGCCTTGGTGAGAAGAGACCCAAGCTCCCTGGGCACGCTCAATTCACAGAGCCAGAGTCAGGCCCAAAGAACCCAAAAGCCAGGCTTTCACCTTTCGCTTGGCTCCCCTAAGGACCACCTAGGTGGCCCTCAGAGCCTCAGAAGCCTCCTTCCTTCTCTGCCTCCCTGCCCCCACTGGGAGGAGTAGCAGGACCCTCGGGGCCCCTCAGCACCAGCTGGCCCCAAGCTGTCTCCTGGTGGCTCACCAAATCATGCTCTTCTCTTACATTTTACCCACTGCATTAATTATAAAATGAACACATTTCAAAAACAGTTTCTGGACAATAGATGGGTATAACATGAAGAGTAATCTCCCCCTCCCAGTCTTGTCCCCTCTACTATTATTTCACCTTTTCGTCCTGGTGGTGACATGAAAAGGTTGATCTCCCAGCTTCAAGTAGAATATTTCCTAACCCCCACTGTAGGGTATAAGGAGTTCAGCTGACCTTCCTTCCTTCCTCCCCTTTCCACATCCACCTCCAGTATTTTGCTAGTTCCAGGGTTATTTTTAGGTTCTTTGAGACCTGAACGCCAGGTCCTTCTGCCTTGGTTGTCCCCACACCCCAAGCTGATACTGGGCCCTGAAGGTAGGTGGCCCTGCAGGCCCAGAGCAGTGCCCAAGTACCTGGTCCATGGCCCCTTGTGTGTTGCCCTCCCCAGCTACCTGGACAGCCTGGATCGGATTGGGGCCGCTGATTACCAGCCAACCGAGCAGGACATCCTCCGAACCAGGGTCAAAACCACTGGCATCGTAGAAACCCACTTCACATTCAAGAACCTCCACTTCAGGTGAGACCCAAGGAGATTACCAGGCCCTGGTAAGGGCAGTGGAGAGATGGGAGACACCCAAATCAGCGTCATCTTCCCTGGTATAGCCAAATAGCACCCCACCTCAGAGAGCTTTGGCATTGGGACAGGTTGCCTGTCTGTGTGCCTGCCTTTCTGTCTGTCTGCCACCTTCAAGGACTGGGATGAGCAAGAAGCCTGTCTGGGAGAGGAGTCCTGAAATGAGGCTGTGAGGAAAGAGAGGATTTGAGTACAAAAGGAGGGGAGACCCCTCCCTGAAGTGATTTCAGAGGAAGAGGAGGCAGTGGGTAAACTCAAGAAATACTGGTGAGATCCTGAGGACCCAAAACATCTCAGAGCTGAAGGGACTGAGAACAGCTCAGCCCCTCTCCCAGGACATAGGGGAAAGATGAGAACACAGGCCCAGAACACAGTGAGGACCAGGGGCTCCAAGTGCCTTCAAATGTGAGGCCAGACTTCTCAGGCATGCTGGAGGGCTGTGTCCCCCTGGGGAACGTCCATGCCCTGAGGCCTGGCAGCCCCTGCCTTGCCTTCCAGGTATGGTTTCTGTGTGTTTGGTACAACAGGGAGGGATGCCACGAGGGAAGGGAGGGACCTCAAGCCAGTAGACAGGTATGAGTGATGTTTCCTAGCTCCCTGTTCTTCCTATCCAGGCAGAGGGGCTGAGGCTCCACAGTCCAGTTCCTGGGCCCAGCAGGACTGTGGGAGACACACTGGGCCTCCATTGACCTGGGCCACAGGGGTAGGCCATGTGGCCTCTGAGGGGCCTCTCTTGCCTTCCAGTCTCCGCAGTCTCTCCTACTCACCCATGAGGTATAAGATGGGGACCTCAGCTCATCCCTGTCCAGCATTCACATCCTGTAGGGGCCACAGAGATCACTGGCTAGCCTCCCTGTGTTTCAGACAGGGAGGTGGGGTGGGGATAGGATGAGACCAGACCCATTTCCTTGCTGCACACCTGTGCTGATCTCTGCCTGCAGTTCCTCTTTTCTGACTGGAGGCACAGGAGACCTGTCCACAGGGGCCAGGCCTACCCATGCTGAGCCATACGCCAGTGGGCTTCCTGTCTCCAGAAAGCTTCAGGCCTAATCCTTGTGCAGAGGATTAGGGTGTGAAACTGACCTCTTGCAAGAGGACTCAAGTCCCGTCTGCTCAGTCTCCTCCCTGGATGCCTCGGGGTGGAGTCTGAAAAGGGAGAGGCCAGGAGCCAATCTGCTTGGGGCTGCTACAGAGCATAGGAGGTGACCCTGACTTTATCTGTAGACAGGCCTGAGTCAGACCCTAGCTCCACCACTCACACCAGGGGCTTGGGCACAACCCTGGCACCTTGGTGCCTCATTTTTCCCACTTCTGCCTCCTAGGCAGATGTAGAGTTTGTCCAGAGCACACACGCAAGAACAGAATGCCAGTGTTAGCATGAGAGGGGGACTTCTCAGAGACACTTGCTGGGGAATACCTGGGATTGCCCCTTTAGTAAAATTCTTCACGCGGAGGGGCACATTTGAGTCAGCCTTGATGAGCATAGCCATTCTTGGGACAGGCTCAGGAGCAGTAATGGCCGCCCCGTCCCCAGGACGGCATAGTCAACCTGTCAGTCTGTCAGCACCTGAAATGAGACCTCCTCAGAAGGCACTGGGCACTTCCGTGCCCAGCCTGAGCACACTCACAGCTGGACCACCAGGCCTCCCCCACCTGCCTGGGCCCAACCACTCACGGCTCTCATGTGTTCTGGGCAGGCTGTTTGATGTTGGGGGCCAGCGATCTGAACGCAAGAAGTGGATCCACTGCTTTGAGGACGTCACGGCCATCATCTTCTGTGTCGCACTCAGCGGCTATGACCAGGTGCTCCATGAAGACGAAACCACGGTGAGTGGCCCTGGATATACTGGACAGAGGACACCATGAAGGCACCACAGAACTGGCTGTTCTGGGAGTACTTGGGCCTCAGTTGCCCACACAGTTCCGGGATCTACCCAGCCGCAGTGGCTGCCATCCGTCCCACCGTAGATAGGCCATGAGGCCCAGTCTCTCACTCTCTGTTGCCAAAATAAAGGCCTCGGGAAGTGTGCAAACCTATCACGCAGCTCTGCAGAAATGGGCTCTCGGACAGTGCCTCTTCAGTAAACTCAGTGGTGTCACTGAGCCATCAGGCCAGAACAGAACTAAGCAAATCCTAAGTATCAGGGTACAGCCAAGCAAGAATATTCATAGAACAGAAGCAGCGGCTTTAGCCTTGACAGCCCTTTCTGGCCCTGGCCAGAGTGCTGCACAGAAGTGTGTGGGGCCGGCACCCTGGGGAGGGCAGTGGGGATGAGGTGTACTGGTGAGTGACAGGGGTGGCTCTGAGTTCCGTCTTTGTGGGATACTAGGACAGGCACCCACCTTTTCTCTGTACATCACATTCAACCTAGGGGCCCTGGCCTCTGAGCACTGGAGGAAAGGGAGGGACCTCAAGCCAGGAGACAGGTGTGAGTGCTGTTTGAAGGGGGAGAATCATTTGGAAAGCAATGCGGACTGCGCCCTTTCTGCTCCGTTACTGTTACCCTCTACCTTGTCAGAGCTGACAATGGCAAGAGATGACCCACATGCAGCACTGGGAACCATTTGCTGACCTGGGGTTGTGTTGCTGCTGGTGGTCAGTCGCCACCTAGGCTGCAGACCCTCAGGGGACTTGGGCCTTCCTTTCCTCAGGTTCTGCAAGGGAACCCAGGCCTCCAGTGTGGCCCCCAGGGTCACTGGAGATGAGCCCCTGGCCTGAGAGTGGGGCTCACAACCTAGCATCTGTCCTCTCACTTGAAATACTCCAAGACCCATAGACCCTGAGCCCTTAGGTCAGCAACAGGGGTGTGAGGAAGGTCTCGTCAATATCCTGGGCTTGAGTAAGGTGCGCCTTCCCTGTGGGTCAGAGTTGCCTTATCAGTCCCACCCCTGCTGTTCCCACAGGCTGCTGTGGAGAAGGGATAAGCTTTGGGGTATGGGCTGCTGGTGCAGTGCTTTGGGGGAAGGAGCCGCCGCCCTGAAGGGCTCATATACCATGGTGGGGCTGTGGTAGATGGGGCTGGAAGCTGCCAGCTGGGTGGGGATCTGGACCCGCGCAGTGTGCTGACTTCTCTGGCTGGGTTTCAGCTATGTCATTCTCAGTGGCCTCAGCAGGTAGTGGTTCTAAGAGGCTCCAGTGTAGCCTTGTCACTTAGTGTGGGGCAGGCACACCGTGGGCCATGCTTCAGCCCAGACTCAGTGAATACCCAGAGCCCAGCACAGCTCCTGGCAATGTGTCCCCGAGAGTGACTGCCCCCAGCACATCCTTCACTGCTCCGTGAGGTGACCCTGTGCTGTTAGCCACTGTTCATGTCCTCTTGGCCACCCCTTCATCTAAACTTGGCTTTGTTCATCTCTTCTCCTGGCCACACCTGCAAGTAGCTACTGCATCACATCATGCATTTCAGAAGGTGACAAAACTGGAGGCTGGAGTGGGAGGCCCTTGTCACTGTGGAGCGACCACGGGGCTGAGGCTCTTGCTAACCTCTGGAGCACAGTACAAGTGCAGGGGATATCTGGGTGGGTCTGGCAGCCATGGGCACCAAGCTTCATGGCCCTCAGGTCTCCAGGGGATGTAGGAGCTGAGGACAGCCCCAGGACAGCCTCCCCTAAGAACTCCTCATGGGTGCTGCTGAGCAGGACCTGTGTCCTAGAACACTTTCCCTGCAGTTTCCTCTTCCTCTCCTGTTTCTCTCACCCCCTCCCTCACTTCCCTGATGCTTTCCCGTTTCCCCTACCCCTGTCCACAAAGGCTGGAACACAGGACCTTGGCGAAGCAAAAGCATGTCTTTCCTGGGCCCTTTCCTCTCCAAGACTAGCCATCTCCAAAGCCTAGGGAAGAGCAGCAGCACTACAGGTAAATAGGGTTTGGCTTTGTGACCTGACAGCAGTCCTCAGAGATGGCTCATTACCATGATGGCAGCAAGAATAACACTGTTACTAAAGAACCAAGTACTTATTTGTGTCGGGGGCATGCATGGGCAGACATGGGTAGACACGGGCAGCTTGAGGGTCAGATGAGTCTGATCCAGGGTATAGCACCGTCCTGCCAACTGTGAGGTCATGGGCAATCATCACACCCCACAGGCCTCTGCTGTACGTGGTGGGCTCGTGGTGGCCTTGAGACCTCTGAGCCCAGACCTGTAAGAGGGCCTGAACGAGGGAGGTGTCACACAGTGAAAGACAGGTCTTGGTCTTCTGTCCAGACACCATGGCTCCAGGACAGGCTGCCGAGCATTCATGCTCTTCCCCAGAGGCAAGACATAGCTGGCAGTGACCCAGTCCTTGTTCCTCAGCCTTCCTCTCTGGTCAGCCCCATGCTTATCACCCTGGCCTGGGGTGAGAGTTGGAACTGCCCGAGACTGAGGTGTCTGGAGGCAGCTCTGGAGCTAGGCCATGCGGGCCCAGGGGCTAGTGGCTGCCACCCACCGGATGCACCCTGGGACCCGAGGGCTCATCCTGTCCTCGTACCTGCTCTCAGCACCGCCCAGCCAGGCCACAGGCTGCCACAACTTCTCTACCACCACTGCCACCACCACTGCCTGCAGGGCCTTATCTTGCCAAACCAAGGCCAAATCCATGAGCAGATTCTGAGAGACCCTCCAAGCCCAGCAGGTATGACACACCTCCCTCCAACCAGAACCATTGCTAAGAGTTGAAAGCAGCAGGTTCTCTGCACCACTGGTGACTTTGCTGTGAAAGCCTGCCCAGCCCACTCCCCACCCATACTCATCAGCCTCTCATTTACTCTTCTGGCTGAGGGTCAACCTCCTCACCTCCACCCTCCCTCTCAGGCCACACAGTCCCAGTCCCAGACCTGCCTTGGCTTCTGTGTTGAGGCACAGGGGCCTCAACACGGATGGCTGGGACTTACGGTTCCAAGACTGGTTGAATCGAGTTTTCAGTTTTTCTCTTCCTTTCTCTTGTATTTGCTGCTGGGATTTTTATCTTCCTCTCATTTTTAATCTGTTTCGCTGTGTTTCCTCTTGGGGTTCTTCTGGCCCCTCTTACTGAGAAACCAGCCAACAATCAGTTCTCCCAGAGCCTACCGATGCCCCATCCACCACCCAGCCAAACCAAATCACCCAGCCAACCAAGGCCACAGCAAGATCACCCTGGAGACAATGTCCCCCATGTCTGCTTCCAACTCTGGATTAATTCGAGGATCTCTGAGTCCTCGGTTAATGTTACCCAACTGAATGTGTGCACCCTCCCAAACCTTGCTGGCGAAACCAAATGAGACCCCGGTGGAGAAGTCTGCATGATCTGCGGTTCTGTGTAGATGTGTTGGATGGTGGTTGCGGCCCTGCTCCTTATGTGCATGGTGCATGTCCTCTCCAGGAGCTGGAGCCTCTCCAGTGACTTCACTGCCCCGCTCGAGCCAGCTCCCTCTGGAAGGGGGCAGTACTTCCCACCTGCCCACTCCAGCTCCACCACCCTGCCTGTGTATGGAATGAAGCAGGGTCATGTCCTATTTGTCCTGTGGGCCGTCCCATTTCTGTCCCCAGTGATGCCCTCAGCCACACTGGTGGACCTTCCCTTTGCTTGTCCCGCTGTGCTGTGGCTATGGTGGGTCAGGGCCCCCCACATTCCCATCCCTCACACACCTCCCCGTTCTGTTGCAGAACCGCATGCATGAATCCCTGAAGCTTTTTGACAGCATCTGCAACAACAAGTGGTTCACAGATACATCCATCATCCTGTTCCTTAACAAGAAGGACATATTTGAAGAGAAGATCAAGAAGTCCCCACTGACCATCTGCTTTCCTGAATACACAGGTAAAGACCGCTCTACAGGATAGCAGGGGCCTCCACAGTCCCTTCTAGCCACGGGGTTGCTGAGGTACCAGGCTGTCTTCCTTCACTGTGCTCTGCCCTGTCCCTAAAGTGTGCCATAGTGAAGCAGTCAGAGCGGCTCACCAGGCTAGAATCTGGGCTTGCACTTCTAGCCATGTGATCGCAACAACCTTGGGGAAGCTGAGCCCCGTCTGTGAACAAAGATTGTATGTATAGTGGGAACACCAAGATGATGATGGGGTAACAAGCTGGGGCTCAGAATCGAGCCACTCAAGGTCCAGCCCTGGCGTGGCCACTCACGAGCGGCCCAAGCAGGTCACATGGCTTCACTGTGCCACAGTTCCACATCTGTGAGGTGAGATGATCACCATGATTGTCCTCCCTCCCTCACAGAGTTGCTGTGAAGATGAAACAAGCTAATGATCACAAGAGCGTGTTTGCTGCGACCATTAGGATTATGATGGTGACAAAGAAGCATCCTAATAGCACCTCCCACTTGGGCTGGCCAAGAGATTCAAACGGGATATTGAATGTGACAGAGACTTGCAAGCTGCAGGGCCCTGGCCACCTTGCAGAAGGTTCTGGGGACAAGAGGACAGCTGTTGATACTGTAGCCAACCCTGGGCAGGTGGGCAGACTGAAGGCAGCTCGACCAGGGCCCCTGAGGAGCTATAAGGCTGGCAGCTCCAGTCAGGTGGCAGCAGGGCCCCAGGTAGCCCAGTACTCATCAGCTCTTCGCAGATAGCTAGGCCCTGTCCAGAGAGGTGAAAAGAAGGAGGCATTCTCTGCCTGGCCAGACCTCAGGCCCATAGGGCCTAAAGCAGGGGCACACAGAGTCCCCACAGGGTAGACCTGTGAGCCATGGCCTGGGGTTAGGCAAGCAGTGCAGCCCTCTTCACCTCCTACCCCTCCCCACCCAATTTCTCAAAATCAAGCTGACTGCCCTATGGGCCAGGATCCCAGGAGCCTCCAGCCAGAAGTGAGCAGGGCTCAGCCTCCCTCATGGATATGTACCAACCAGCCAGCTTCCTCTCTAGAGATAAACTAGGGACCTGTGAATTCTGCCTGTGAGGCAGTAGAAGCAAGTGGAATGACTTGGTCACCAAGACCAGTCTGGAGCCAGGGCAAGAAAGGAGGGGACCACTAACTGAGGGAGTCTGAGAGTTCCCTCCTGTCCCAGATATTTCCCTTACCTTCACCCTAGATTTAGTAGATTTGTGATCTGGTAGACTCTCAAAGCAGCCTGTGGCCTGTGCTAAGGCACTTAAGATGGCTGCAGCCCTTCCCCTAGGTATAGCACCCCATCTTAACCCTGTAATTCAAACTCTGGTTCTTTCCCTGCCTGTCCCTTAGTGAGTGGCTACAGCCCAGCCTGTGCAGACTATGGGCACTTCAATGCAAAGCCAGGGTCCTATTCTTCCGCTCCTTCTCAACCCAGCAGCTGCTCTGCCAGACTCCATCTCTGGAGAGCAGATCAGCATGGTGCATCCTGAGGAAGATGCAAATGAGCGAGCCAGGAATTCTTACTCCTCCTGAGAGTGAGCAGCAGAAGAGGGAGTGGGTAAGAAGAGGGAAGGAGGCCGAGAAGGCTCACAAGCAACACAGTCATCACACCAGACACATACCTGTCATCCCACCTTGCCCCAGCAGCCGCTGGGCAGCCACATCCTGGCTGCCCTGCCTTGCAGGCCCACAGAGAAGGCACCCTGCATGAGACTGGCACCTTTGAACTTCTTTGCTCAGACCTGTGTTAAGATGTGAAGTTGGGATCCTCAGGAGTCAGTAGGCATGTGTATAAGAGGAAAGCAGTTTTGTGGAACGGCATTCACCTGTAGTACAGGTGATGGCTAGGAAACCACATAGTCTTTTTCAGTGGTGGCAAACCTATGGCCCAAACGCCACAGCTGGCTATTATTGAAAACTAAAAATTTTGCCATTTGGACTTTTTTCATTCACGGTCACTGCCCTGGATTTAAAAGGCTGCAGGGATTGCTTGGCCCTCTGTTGTAGCTGAGCCCTCAGTTTTCCCACACCACTAGCTTTTTCTGACAAGCTGTCTCTTAAGAGACCCTAAGGATATGCTCCATGGTCACCAGCCAGGCCCAGGGTTATTCATGCTTGGTGGCCCCACAGGTACCGCCTCTTACCTCCCTTGCCATTTCCTCCCACAGGCCCCAGCACCTTCACGGAAGCCGTGGCTTACATCCAGGCCCAGTACGAGAGCAAGAACAAGTCAGCCCACAAGGAGATCTACACCCATGTCACCTGTGCCACGGACACCAACAATATCCAGTTTGTCTTTGACGCCGTGACGGACGTCATCATTGCCAAAAATCTGCGGGGCTGTGGACTCTACTGAGCCCCGGCCCCCTGCCCAGATGCCCATGCCCTGCCCAGCCCCCACCCACTCTTCCCCTGGAACCAGAGCTCTGCCACTTCTCAGACCACTCTTTGCGCTGAGGAAGAAGATCCAAGAGGCTGGCGCCAGGGGGGAGGAGGGAACACCCTTCACGCACCCCCACCTGTACCCTCCAACAGCTGGATGCGTGGTAACAGGGCTGGGCAGGGGTGCTGAGCAGCGTGCCATGTACCACAAGGCAGAAGACCTCTTCCTACCACCTGGGTGCCACTCAGTGCCACTGCTTTGTCTCTGAGTATTTTGTTCAGGGGCAGGCGTGCAGGGCTGGGCAAAGCTGCCATTTTTCCCAGAATGGGCATGGTCTTGCACTCCATGGCTCTTATAGAAGTCTTGAGGTCTCCTGTCATCTGGGTGTACAGGTGGCAGGATGACCCTGTAGTACGGTGCATGCAGTCTGGGGACAGTAGACGCCATCCTTCACCTTTGCCTGGCATTTGTCTGGTTGAGGGCTGCTCCGTCACCAAAAGCCAAGGTGGGATCAGGCAAAAATTGTGGAGTGAGGGCTCAGGCCTTGGTAAGGCCTACTGTCTCTGCTCATCCTCCCCTACATTTGGCCCCATTCCTGACTGCCCCCAGCTTGGAATGCTCTGAGAATGACTGGCTGTAAAGATGTGTGGCTAAAGTCCAGTCCTGCACCAGGCAGAGTTAGGGAAGAAGAGGAAGAGTCTGGGGAGGGAAGCAGAGGCAGCAGCCCAGGGCTCTGGCTGTTCTCCTGGCACAGCTGCCCCAAGTATAAGTGGACATACTTTTCCTTCTTGAAATCAGCAGTGAGTCCAGCTGAAACCAGCAGGATAGGCAGAGGCCTTTTGGCTGAGGGTCGTGGAGGTAGGAGGCCCAGGGAAGGTGTGGACCACACCCTGCAGCCAGCACCCACACTTTGTTCCATCTTGGTCAAGAAGTCAGGAGGCCCCATTGGCCTCCCACCCTCCAGGGGCAGAGGAAGGCAAGTAGAGGGAACCAGTGCCCTGGAATGCGAGCTGTGAGGGCCTAGGTCCGCTTGGACATACAACCTGCCCACTGTGGGGAGGTTCTAGGAACCCCCCTTGGAGTTTTTCAGCAGAAGTCCGAGTGGAGAGAGGTGAGTGGCTTTTGGTGATCCTGGCCCTGGTTGGCCTTGGGCAGTCAGCACACCTCCCTCTCACTCCCAGGCACCTCACATTGCTTGATGCCATGGCCAATAGCCTAGGCAGATGTGCCACAAGAGGGGAGAGGGCTGCCTCCAGAGAGTCCTCTGCCTCCCTCCTCAAGCCCCATGTTCTCCTGGTCTCCACTCTAAACCTGGCTCTGTCCCAAGCCAGGCAGGACCCCTGGCCTCTCACATGCAGCCTCTTGGCCTGACCGGGAACCAGGAAGGAGCCCCATGCCAGTAGCTCTGGGCTTGTTGGTTCCAACAGGCACAGAGCTCTGGGTGGTACAGGAGATCCTTCCGTAGTGCTAAATGCCTTGCCCTAAGGTGCCCCTCCCTGCTCCATCTTGCAACTGCCCCTGGCAGCCAGTCTCTTGAACCAGCCCATCAGCCCAGTCCACATCCATTTACTCACCTCCATCATTTTCTGAACCTTGTACCAGGTGCTGGCACATGGCAGAGGATAGGCCCTGCCATGAGAGGCTAAGGTCTACTTAACCATTCTGCCCAACATTGAAGTCACTCTGGGTAAGGCCAGCTGTGCCCCTAATTCCGCCCAGATTCGGAAGTACTTGAAGAGAGGGATGTTGTCAAACCCCATCTGTAAGGCCATTGACCCTGAGGTGGAAGTCACAGACCTGTCACTAGACATGGGCTCTTTATCTCCCCCAGTGGCCAGAGCCCCAGGCTAGAGTCAGAACCCTGGATTCATTCCTCCCCGTCTATAGGAGTAGGGGTCTTGTGGCCTTCCTGCCCTCTTTCCCCAGGCTGCCTTTTTCTTCTCTTGGATGCTGTCTTGCTCAGTTGTCTTGCACTGCTTTCAACTGGATGTTCCGCCCCAGCCTGCCAAGGGAGGGGCCTTTGGCTGTCTAGTGTAAGCCCTCAAGGAGAGCAGATGCAAGGAAGATTCCCTGGGCACCACAACTCCCAACCGTGTTGTCACCAGTGCCTCTGCCATGGGGTGGAGGGGAAGTAGCTGGAGGTGGTGTGAGTTTTGGCTCCGTCGTGGATATGGATATGGGGGAAGGGTTGTGAGTGACCAGACAAGGGTGGATCACTTATCCACAGTGGCCCTGGGTGTGTCCACAAGGGGCTGTGCTAAACTCTGAATGGCTATAATTTAGCAGGCCAAGAGGAAGCTGATTTGTAGGAAGGTTACCTTTGCCAAACTGGTGAAAATATGCCCATCACTTAAGATGCCTATGAGCAAGCTCTGTGCCCTGCCCAGGAGCAGTACCAAGAACCAGGTTTCTGCCTTCCCTCTGACAGAGACCCCCAAGGCTCCCTGCCTCAGTGGGGGCTGGCCTGAGGAGCCTGTGTCCTCACCAGTAGCTCTGGCCTTCTGGGTCCCATGACTACCCATGCCCTGTCTCTTTCCGTCCCCGCTGCCCTGGCTGAGCCCAGGCAGACTCCTACCATGTCTAGTGTCAGGAGGGAACTCTGCCTCCTAGCCACTGCTCCCAGACCAGCCCCACTCTACTGTGGAACTGGAGGCACCCCTGCCCACATGGACTGAGGGTCAAGCGACAGCCTCAGACCTACCCAACACTGCAAAGCCCAGCAGAGAGGGCTCTGGCATTGCCTCACTAATCCCTTCCTTACCACCAGCAGGATTACACCACAGCTCCCACGATACATCCTACTGTTGGTACCCCAATGGCACACTCTTCTTTATGGCCAGCCTGCATCTACCTGCCCGCCTTTACCATCTGACCTAGTACACCTTTAAATCTTGACATGTGATCCAAGCCCAGGAGGGTGACATAAGGAGCCCCAACTCTTCCCTCCAGACCCAGTAGCAGCTGCCCAGCCCCTATTGAGTTTCTCTGGTTGCCTGTGCTTATCTCTGACCCTTCCGAAAGCCTCCAAACAACCAGGCAGCTCTCAGGAGCCAACACCTGAGGCTCCAATAGAGGTTTGATCTGGGGTGCTAAAGGTAAGCACCCAAGAATTCCCCATCCACAGACGGCAGAGTGAAGGGTCCCAGTAGCCCAGAACACAGGGCCAGTGTGTGAGCCATGACACTGGGGCTGTGGCACAGCTCCGTATTGCCCAGTCTCTCAATGGGGAGAGTTTTGAATTTAATTTACCCTCCCAGAATGTGGAGCTGGGGCCTCCAGACAGACCCCACCCAACCAGATGGAGGCCATATCAAGGAAGAGGTAGGCAGGGGCAACAGCAGAAACACTGGCTCCCAATCCCAAATCCTGGACCCTCTCAGGGAGGAGCTCCCTCTGAAGAGCCACTCCCATCCCCAGGTCCTGTGCACCAAGATCAGCAGTAGTGTGACCCCATGTCCTTCACCCAGCTCCCACATCCCAATCCTGAGGCCCCACATTGTCCCACCACACTTGCCCTCCCTGCCCTGGGCAGCACACCTTCACCTGCTGGTTTTCACTCTAAACCTCGCCTCTAAATCCCACTGCTTCTCATTGTTGCCCTAGCTGCACCACCCCTGCTGGCTCCCACCTTAGCAGAGCCTTCCTAGGTGCAGTGGTCCCATCCCCTGACCCACCACCGCCATCCAACCCATATTAACTGTAACTTTACAAGAAGAGTGACTTGTTGGTTTAATAAATCTCTAGTTATTGTAATAATTTATTGGCTGACGTAATGTATTAGTCACCTATCATTAATAAAAAGTGCCAGCTCTTTCTAGCGTGTAATGTGTGTCAGTCAGTGCCCAAGGAGCTTCTGCCAGGTGCACAGCACAACACCTGTCCCTGTGCTATTAGGTCCACGAGCAGCCTGTGGGGTGAACACAGGCCTGCTGGATTCCAGGTGCCTGGCTGCCCTGCAGTCCTGGGTGCAGGCCCAGCAGATTTCCAGTTTAGCCTATTGGTTTCCTGGCCTGTTTGGTGCTAATGCCACATGGTCTGGTGCTGACAACTTTCTTGCTGCTCTCAGGCTTCACTGCAGCCTGAGCAGGTGGAAGACTTGGGGGAGATAGCTCAGGGGAGGGCTCCTACTGGCTCTGTGGGAAGGCTATAGTGGGTAGTGGTGGGTGGCTGTTGGCCATCTGTGACCCTCGCTTCTCTTTTTCAAATGTTGGCATTTCTGATTTGAATGTATTCGGCGTGTTTCCTCCTGTGAAGCTCATCAGGATGAGCAGTGCTCTCGGCTCCTTGGTAACGGGTCTAGAGGGATGGGGCGTGAGAGAGGGTCTCAGTGCCGGCGCCTCACCCAGCAGCCTCTTCACTACACTCCCCTAAGTTTCTAGGATCCACCCTTCTAGGCCCACTCCAAGGCAAGGTCCTGTCCTCAAAGCAGGCCTGGCTGTGCATGTCTGTTCCCCAGACCCCTCCTCTACTTGTCATTCCCAGGGCCCCAGACATGTTTAACGTATGTGCAAGTCACTCCCACTAGACTGTGAGTTCTCGAAGAGCAGGAGCCTGGTCTGGTCACCCTGCATCGCTGTGGCATCCCAAAGGGGGTCTTGCACACTAGTACCAGTCAGAAGTTATCAGCTGGAAGAGTGAGAGGGACAGCTCTAAAGCCTTGCAAGTGGGAGGCTGTAGAGGGCTGAGCCTCAGCAGGTGCAGACCCTAGAGCCTTTGTGGGCTGGCCTGGAGTCCTCATCCATACCTAAGCTCAGGGCCTCTTAGGGAAAATACCTTTGGCTCAGGCCATGTACCAAATGGGCACAGTCCATATTCTCAGCTTGGGTCATCCTTGGAATGACAGTCATCCCCACAGACACCTGTGCAGTAAAACTGGGAACTTACCTTTGACTGCGGGTTTTCAGCTCTTCCTTGAGCAGGTGCAGGATGTTCCTGTGTGGAGTACAAGTCTTGGGGTCTCAGAGACTCACCACCATTGGTGTCCCAGTGAGCCTTGAGCATTCCCTGCTCTGGGTCCTGAACATGGCTTACTTGGCTCTAGGAAATTACCTGCCCTTTCTAGAGTGGATTCCATCAAAATAGCACAAGGAAAATGAGTTTTGCTCCTCCTTGAAAGGTATCATGCAAATGACAGGGAGACTTTTGGAGGGAAATGGGAATGAAATTGATTGGTTGAGACTAGGAGATCAATGAAATCATAAGGAGCTGGCAAATGTGTTTAGTAGACTCAATGGATGATAGTATTGCCTGCAGATCTTGAAGGAGGCTAAGGCCATGCCATGTATCTGTCACCTGGGACCACCAAGCACTCAGACTGGCCCTCCACCAACCAACCTGAGCCCGTAAGAAACAGGGCTTACATGTCACTGATACAGCACTGCAGTGGGAGAAATGACTGAAGAACTAGTCATATGATGTGTGAGAACAGCCATGACATTCTTGTTATTTATTCCATGAAAAGCCACAGACTACTCAAATTGAAGAAACCACTGCTTAAGTTCTAGATTTCCCCAGGGCCAAGTATGAATCTCTTCTTTCTTTTTACTGTGGTGCCAAGAATCGAATCCTGAGTCTCATACAAGCCAGGCAAATGCTCTACCACTGAGCTGCATCCCTAACCCTAGCCTTTGCTCTTTAGGGTCCTAGCTATGTCACTTTGTTGTGTCCTAAGTGTTGATGAAGTTAGATGACACAAGGAAGATGAAGTAGTAGGCACAGATCTGCCACAGCGTGGGCTTTGGTGACCAGTGATGATCACTTCATCTTCCTCAACCTCCTGACCAGACAGAGGAAGATGGCCATGGCCACTGAGCCAGCAGTTTCCCCAGCTCCTGTGTTTGCTCCTCTCAGGTGGACCAAGTACACCTTTAAAAACAAAATTCACCACACCGGCTCTCTTCTCTTTTCCATTCCTTGTTTCAATCTGTGTTCAGAGGATAACATAGCCTAGGTTACCTATGGGCTTGGGCTTTAGACTCAAGGAGTTAAGTTTGTGGTGGTGAAGTTCACTGGGCTAGTATAAGGTTCTCAGGGAAAATAAGGAGGCTGTCCCTTCCCCTACCTCCCTGTGCAGAAACATCTCTATACTGCAAAAATAGATTACTCAAGTGAACGTGCTTGGCCTCCTATAGTAGAGAAATGTGTCCTTGCCTAGGACTCAGCTTTATTGGGGATGCTTATCACATGCATCCACTTGCTAATAAAACTATGAACAAGGCAGTAGTTTACATAGGCTCTGCTTACCACCCTTCACAGGTTGGGACATGGTTGAGCTGGACCCAGTCAGAGCGGGCACGGCAAGTCCCCTGGCACTCCTGGGGGCAGCCTTGGACAGGAGCATCTCTCCTCAGTGGCAGCCTCCAAGAATGCCAACAGGACTTGAAGATTTCCCCATCCGACCACGGAAGCCTAGAGTCTCTCGCCACTCCCACAGGACATTCTCTACCCACATTGGGCCCAGAATATCCAACACAGAGAGCCAAAGCCCAGCTCCCCAGTTGTAGTCCAGCACTTCCACGACACATACACATTCTGGAGACCCTCACATGGGTGGAGACCCTGCAGTGGGAAGCTGTCCCTGTCCTCAGCTTCACCCAGAAAACCATGGTCAGTTCCCAGTGCAGCCTCACCACTGGCCCTGAGATGATAGGTGCACTGATGCAGAGCTGCTCCGCAAGTCTGAATGAGGTGCCCTGTAATGTCTGCAGATTGCAGGTTCAGTCTGTCAGCCTTTTGAAGGAGTCCAGAGCACAGGGGCTCTCTGAGCTGCTGAGGAACCCAGTCCCTCTCTCAAACCTAATTCTCCTCTTCTCTTTCCCTGTCTCTGTGTCCTCCCTCTCCTGTCTGTCTTGCTCTCTTCCTTCCCCCCTGGGGCTGCAGAACCGCATGCATGAGTCTCTCATGCTCTTCGACTCCATCTGTAACAACAAGTTCTTCATCGATACCTCCATCATTCTCTTCCTCAACAAGAAAGATCTCTTTGGCGAGAAGATCAAGAAGTCACCTTTGACCATCTGCTTTCCTGAATACGGAGGTGGGTGTTATGGTGGCCCTGTACAGGAGGAAACCCCAGCCCTGGCAGGGACCTGGGTCTTCCCCAAAAGACATAAACTGCAGTCCAGCCACCTGTGGGCTCAAAGACAGGGATCTCAGCCAGCACACTCAGGTCAGCTGGTGACCAGGGACCAGAGCAGGAGTCCAGCAGAGCCCAAAACACTATGGTATCACCAGGCTGGCCCTTCCCAGGACAAGGCCTGTGTGGGCACTGTCTCCTCCTGAGCCATATGTGTCATGACAGGTGACTTAGAAGTGGCATTGCAGGGATCAGGGGCAGTGCAGACCCACAGGCGTCCCTCTGCTTTTATTCCTCTATTTATCCCTCTGGTAACCCTCAAGAAAAGGACTCCAGATCTAGCGAGAGAATGGTCTTCCCTCACCCCTGCACAGGACAACCTCTGGGCCACAGATGACCTTTGCATGAAATGGAAAAGGTGAACATGTGGTGTGTAAGTGCGCTTGGGCTGCAGTTCAGCCCTTACCTGCTTTCTCTACTGCTTTGGTGCACTGAGCATGCTGTGTGTCTGTGTGGCAGCCCAGGCCAGGGCAGACTACGCCACCCTTTCCTTTCCCACTCCCTCCAAACCCACTGTACCTGGTCTCTCCCACTCTTCCTCCTCCCATGGTCTCTCCCAAATCAAACTATCTCAACTACTGCAAGCCTCCTCTACCCCTGCCTTCCTGTCTTCTGCCTTTCCTGGAACTTCTTTTTCCTATTGGCTCTCAGGGGAATAGATCACAGACCCCCATAATGACACTCTCTCCAAATGGGGCAGGAGGGAAAGTGGCTCTGTAGGACAGACACCTCCATGCTGCTACAAAAGGCTGGAAGCAGTGTTGATGGAATTCAAGGGCCTGACCTGTCTGTCCCTCTGGGGAATGGAAGTTTCTGTATGTCTCTGGGGTGGAGTTACCTTTGCATGCTGAGAAGAGGGCCAGCACCCAGTGAAAGAGGATGTGCTGTGCTGTCCTGGTAAGGGCACAGGTGGGCACAGCCAGGAACCCACTCACTGACAGTCCAAGTTAGCTTGTGGGCATGGGCTCCGGTCCTAGGGCCACCCTAGTTCCCAAAGTAGCCAGAGTTCCCATAGAGAAGATGCTGGTATCTCCATCCTTCTTCACTACTGGGAATCATGGTGGTGTGAAGTAGAAGGGCCCACTGGCTTGTTTTAAGCACAGCCTGTATCCTCTCCGATGCTGCTTATGAACTTGTAAGGTGCTTGCCCATCACTGGGTGCAGAGAGGGAGATGGGGCCAGGGACACTGCGCTTCACTCCAGGCTGTTTGGTCTGACAGATGTCAGCAGTACAAAGTCTCTGACAAGGCAAGTGGCCAAAGCAGACTATGGAGCTAGACCATCTGCAATTTTGGGCAGGTCACTCCTTTGTGCCTCTTTATCTGAGTGCTATAACAGATCATAATGCTACCCCATAGGGTGGCCAGAGGGGTGACAGGAGACAGTCCTTGGGGTAAGGTCTAACTTCTATCATTGTCATGGGTATCTAGAGGATGGAAAACAAGAGGGAACCAGCCATGGAGGAGAGGAAGTGCCCTCTGCAGGCCCCAGAAGAAGGGCCCTACCTGAGGACAGAGCAGGGCTATAGCCCACGCTCTTGGCAGCCACTGCTGACCTCTCCTGCCTCAGCAAAGGCATCCCCATTTTAGAAAGACTTTTAGAAAGCCATGGTGACAGGGTGTGGCCCGGCAGGCCCTCAGGAGCAGGCACAACCCCATGGCTCTTGTCTAGTGTCCACTGAAGCCTGATTTGGGCTATGGCCTAACGATTGTCAGGCTCACTGCTGTGTAGTGTAGGTGCTGGATACCCCTGGTAGATGTCCCCAAGAAAAATTCAGTGTAAAGTTCCCCAGGGACTTCAGAGGATCTGGTTTGAGTTCAGACAACATGATAGATGACAAATGTTCACAGTGTTGTGGCCACTTGGGATGCAGGTCTTTTGGGGACACAGAACAAGCTAGAAGAGTAGGGATGGGAAGAGGCTGACTAACCCAGGACCCATTGTGGGCCCATATGCACTGGGCAGTAGTGAGGCTGTGGCAGGATGCCAGGCTTAGCAGACAGAGGGGTGCTCTGCCATGGTCTGTGTCTGTTTGGCCTCTAGACAGGAGACTTTCTGACAGGGTCTAGACCTTCCACTTTGGTCTCAAACAGTTTTGCTGTAGTTCAGCATTCAGAGTGCTCCTGCCTGTCTTATCTCTGTGACAATGGGCTCATAAAGTAGCTCAGCCTTGACCCCACCCAAGGGATGTCCCCACCTTACCCCTTACAATGCCTTACCACCACCTGGAGTCTGATTGTCATTATCCATTTACCAGTACAATTATTTAAATATGGGATGACCAAAATTTGCGTATTTTTGTTAATAACAGGGAATATATAAAACTGACAATTTTATCATATTATTCAAGAATCAACTAGCTGAAATGACACACACCCAAGTGATGCTCGGGATAGTAAGTATGTAAATAAATGGGCTGCCTGAGTGACAAACTGTTAGGTAGTTAACAGAAAGGAGAGAAATCCTTGCTGCAGATCCCTCCAGTGGCCCAAATCCCAGCCAGCAAACTCTGTTCACACCCTCAGCCTTCAGGGTGAGGAGGCAAGGGGAAAGGTCATCTCACAGCCCCAAATTAACATTATATTGTGACCATCCTGGGCCAGGTGCTAGCAGCACTTAAGAAAAAGGAGCATGTTTACATATTGGACTTTTTTAAGTCTGTGTTGGTTCATATGCTGTGGTAGCTAATTGAAAACTGTCCTAAGCACCAAGGCACAAGGAGTTAGGTTGTAGCTCATTGGAAAACTCCTTACATCATCCACAGATGTGCCCTGTTATCCCCACCCCCAGTCCTCACTAGGCTCAAGAGGGCAACCAAGAAATTGTTGGTTGCTGGTATCTCTTTTAACCTTTCCACTATGAAGACACCACGCTCCCGTATCCTGACCACTCTGAGCACCAAGCACTGGGGCTGCTTAGAGACACTGCCAGCCCCATTGAATGACCACTCAGAGAACACAAACTAAGGATGGAGCCCATCCCACTTGGTGCTCACCAGGCCTTGAGACACAGGAATCCTAGGATACCACCCTGCTAGGCAGTGCCTTCATCCAACTTTTCTTGTTTATTGGAGTCAGCAGAATTGATTGAGATAGACCATGAGGCGATGCCTCCATTTGATTGTTAAGAAAGGGATAACCAGTGGTCATTGTCGTCCCAGGGCTCCTGTGTAGATCTAGTGTGAAAACAATAAAAAGACCTGAAAAGGCAGAAGGCAGGTGAATGCTAAGCCTTACATAGATCCATCCTTGTTCTGTGTCTTGTTACAGGATCCAATACCTATGAAGATGCAGCTGCCTACATCCAAACACAGTTTGAAAACAAAAACCGCTCACCCAACAAAGAAATTTATTGTCACATGACTTGTGCCACAGACACGAATAATATCCAGGTGGTATTCGACGCTGTCACCGATATCATCATTGCCAACAACCTCCGGGGCTGCGGCTTGTACTGACCTCTTGTCCTGTATAGCAACCTATTGGTAATGATTCCAGCACTCACAGAACAGCTTGCGTGCACACAGACACACACAAACACACACACATATGCACACACACCACTAACAAATGCAAGTTGGTAAATAAACTTTACAGAGGCATAAAAAATCTTATATATACACAAATATATACTAGAGAAATCTTTTTAGTTTGTACTAGGAATTGCTGCAGACAGAACTGACCACCATCCCATAGCTCATCAAGGTTTTCCTGGGACACACATCATAGGGGGAGCCTGGTTTGAGAGTCTGTCCTTTCAAGGACAGCTTTAGGGTCTTAACACAACCCACTGCTGTGCAAAAGAGAGGAAGAGGGAGGCCTGGCCCTGGCCAGCTGTTCCTCTGCATCCCACCCACCAAGGCTGCATACACTCAGTTCTGTCTTGCTCTCATGCCAGCTCCAAACCCTCTAAAAACAGCCAACACCCTAAATGTCTCCCTTCCCTCTCCCCACAGCAACAGAAACATTTAAGGACACTTCTCTCTTGGGTGGTGGTGGTGGTTAATTTTAAGACTAGAAGAATCATTGCTCTGATCAATCCACTGTCTCCTGAGTTTTCTTTATTCATGTGAACAAGGCAAGAATCAGACAACAGGGAGACTTGGTCTGCTTTCTGAAAGCAGAGGGGAGGGAATCTGTGAGCCATGGCTCCAATCCACCTGTGTTGAAGGCAGCTCCCCTCCACATGGGAGGGAGGGGCGAGGAGGGGTCAGCAATGGCCCAGGGGAGGGCAGACTTGCAGACCTGACCTTAATCAGCATCCTGTAAGGGTTCCAAGGCCACCTGGGATGGGCCACATTTGAGTTCTTGATTCCTTGTGAGTATGCCCCACCTGGCCTTGTCCCAACATTAGTTACGATTTCCTAGGGTTTTTTGGTTGCTTGCTTGGTTTTTAAAATCAAAGAAAATGGTCAGACTGGACCCCTTATCTCTCTCTCTACAGACTGCTTCATGGACTCTTTGCTGTTGACGTTGATCTCCTGGTAGCATGACCTTTTGGCCTTTGTAAGACACACAGCCTTTCTGTATCAAGCCCCTGTCTAACCTACGACCCCAGAGTGACTGATGGCTGTGTATTTCTGTAGAATGCTATAGAATCCGGTTTTAGTTAAGTCTTTACATTTAGAATTTGAAAGAAAAACAAAAGAGAACATTTCTCATGTGCTTTGTAGCTTCAAAACAGGAAAAGGAAAAACTCGCCATTTCATCCACATTT